TAATATTAACCCCCCCCTAAACAGTGTATTGTGTGTTACACAGAATTTACAGCCTGCTTCACAATACGACCCTGGTGTCAGACTCAGTTTCCTGTAGAAAACATTTGGAATTTCTAGGATTCAAGCCTAATAAAACATACATTAAAAAAATGAAGAAAGCCTGCAATGTGCAGATGTATACATCGTCATCACCATATTAAATGCTAATCACTTACAAAAGGTGGAAATGGACTTTAAACATGTGTGAATGACAGTGGGCTGAATCATGCACTCGGCAGTTGTTCAACTATCTCCCCCTCCGCAGTTCCCAGATAAGACCCCCTGGGGTCTCATTCCTTCTGCTGCTGTAAAAGAAAGTGAAAGCTCCAACAACTATGGCAAGACTGAGAATTCCAGATGAGATTTCATAGCTGCTGGAGTGTCTGTGACCAAGAGAAATGGGCAAATGACGGCCTCCACCCTGCAGGCACATTTACACTCTAAAGAGCACAAGAGGAGGGTGCTGTGTCGGTGGGCCCATTTGCAGTACAGCACAAGCAGGGATGAGAATTATTAAGGCTCAGATCCCAAAGCTGGGGATGCTGGTGCACACAGGGGGCTCAGGAGGAAAACACTGAACCGGATGCAGCAATGGCCCCGCCACTAGGAGTCTCAACAGGCAGTATTGCATGCTGCAGTGATGTACATGTAGGAAGAGCATGTCCAACATACCGAACCATTGCATATGTGTGCAACAGACCAGCGTACACTAAGAGGCACAAGGAAAATACAGTGTGGACATGTCTGAAGTACCAGTTTCTAGAGCACGCGTCACCAGGGGATCTCACTATATATACATTCAGTCGTATGTAGAAATGTGTGCATATGATACGTCAGAAGAGGCCCCTGTACCTGCACAGACCAGTATATTTACAAGTACGCTTTCATCTGTATATGGTCTACAGATGTGCTACATGTACACAGATTGCTCTCTGCTGCCCCCTTGCATCTACTTGTGGTACTCCCCCTTGCTTAGGCAAGTACTGTCTGATACGTACAGAGCCTCAAACTGCACCAGGCTTGGCCTGCAGTTACAATCTTCACATGCCTGTCGTTTTCCCAATGGCAGGCATGGTACCTGAATGAGCAGATACAAACATACAGAAGATATAGATATATATTTCGGGTAATAATGATTAAATGGTAAAAGAAGAGCTCGGAGCGTAGGGGAGTGTACTAGATGGTGGCCGGTAGTGGAGAAGGCTGCTGTTCCTCTCTTGTCAGTTTTGCTCTATTGCTTCCCTACACAATTCTCTGGAGAAATATCGGGGGGGGATAATAGTTCAGGGAGTCGTCCATTGTCTCCTCTACCCCCTTGTGCTTTGTAGGGAAAACACGCTCAGTTAAGTTTCCTTTAACAGGTTGATTTTGGCGCAGATTTTCAAAGCAGGTCCCAGTTTAATATTCAGGGCACTCATAAGGTGTTCCTCCTTCAGCAGTAACAAAGCCTGCCCGTCGATCTCTTGAGACCGAAAGTCTTCAGCAAGGTCCTGGCATCCTAGGGGGGAAAGAGAAAAAGACGTTTTGTCAGACTTCTCTTTACAATGACAGGGACGCATTTCCATATCATACATTGTGCGTTTCATCCAATGACATGATGGCGCCGAGTTACTCAACATGTCTCTATAGAAAAAGTCTCCTTTTTCCAACCAATCGGAAGTCAGCTTTCAAACCCTAGAGTGGACAGGCCTCTGATCATTTGCTGCAGGTTATTGCACATCACCGTTGCCTACAATTTTAATAAGCCTTATATCAGGGGCAGCCAAACTTCGGCCCTCCAGCTGCGGTGAAACTACAAATCCCATGTGAGAATCTTGCAATGCCTCATGGGATTAGTAGTTCCACCACAGCTGGAGAGCCAGAGTTTGGCTGCCCCTGGATTATATAATACTTCTATTATATAATCTAAATCTTCTATTATATAATCTAAACTATAATACTCCTATGTCATATCCACAGCGTACATCTTTTTAGACCATACCAAGTGATGCCCAGCTCCCCCAATACTCTGGTTGTCTATCTGAATATCTGCTCATCCCATATACACAGACACGACCCTTTCTCTAGACACCAAACCATGGGCTTCCTGTCAAAAACTCCTGAGCAGTGAAATGAGAATTCCTTGGGATTGCCTCTGAGTAAAAGGAACTCTCAAATGGGTCTTCCCAGTGTTCATTGTGACAGCAAATGTGGATTTAGTTTTAGTCATAGATCTTAAAAACATCAGAAGTGACAAGAGAGCATGGAGTCGCTTCCCGGCCAATCGGGAAGCGTGTAATGACGTGTTGCCCGGCTTCCTGATACCAAAAGTACTCGTGCTAGGCATCGGAGCATTTGGGCGAGTACGAATACTCGCCCAAATACTCGGCATCGGCACCGATATCAATACTTGTATCAGTATCGGCGCATCCCTAATAACATGTCTTTATTTATCTTAAATTGAGATGAAACCGAGTCTTATAAGGGAACAATAATACTGAGTATTTTGAACAAAGGACCAGTCATTAGACATACATTGATTAGAACAACTTGTATATGGCATTCTTCATTCTTTCAAGTAGAAGTGCAACTCTTATATACAGGTGAAACTCGAATAATTAGAATATCGTGCAAAAGTAATTGCAGTAAGTGCTGCAAAAGGGGCCCAAACCAAGTACTGAGTACATATGCATGCTTATACTTTTCAGAGGTCCGATATTGTTCTATGTACAATCCTTGTTTTATTGATTGCATGTAATAATCTACTTTTCTGAGATTGTGGATTTGGGGTTCTTGGGGTTTTCATGAGCTGTAAGCCATAATCATCATAATTATGACAAATCACGGCTTGAACTATATTGCTTTGCATGTAATGAGTCTATCTCATATATTAGTTTCACCGCATAAGTTGCATTAGTGAAATAAATGAACTTTGCACGATATTCTAATTATTCGAGTTTCACCTATATATATATATATATAAATTAAAAACTTTATTGGCTGTAATGCTATTACACATATTACCTCTTAGCTGCCCATTCAGGATGGAACCAAAACTGGAAATCCAAAGAGATTAGTTCTGATTGGATCTCTTCCCAAATCGTCTCTCCCTAACATTTTAGTCTAGTTTTAGTTCGTCGACTTAAATGTTGACATCTATCCGGTATAGTTTTAGTCATCATAACTCAGTTTTTATTTAGTTTTATTTAGTGAAAAAGTGTTGCTGACAAAAACTATGACGAAAATGATCAGTCGGCGGAATTAACACTGGTCTTTCCTGTACAGGCAATTGGCAAATATAGAAAAAGCATTTTACAGTTAGTCCAGAGTTATATATAAAGCTTTTTTAGCAGCGCCCCCCCCCCCCAAATCTGCAAATACAGCTAGTGAAATGAAGTCATACCTTGTAAGGAGGAAATGAACTCATACACCTCCTCCACGCTCCAGCGGCTGGGATTGCTAGATAGAAAAACTGGATTGATCCCCAGAAGATCCGAGCTGGAGGGTCCGCTGGTTGGGGTACTTCCTTCTCTCTCTGTGTGGGGTGTCCTACAGGAAGGAGGGGCTGGGGAGGTGGGGGAGAAAGCCTCATCGTAGCTGGAATTATCAGAACCACGGCTGGAATCCTCCTGTAAGAAACCAAATTCATTCTAAATTTGATACAAGCTAAAGTATCCTACACACTGTACTAAATCTGAGCTGTCCTGTCTAGCAAACCACCCTACAAATACTTCCCAATTAGAGATTGGGACCCCTGAATGTAGTGGCGGCTCACTAATGAGCAGGACCTGCACGAGGTAGAGGCACTAATACTTAAAGGAGAACTATGAGGTGAGTGATTTACACTCATTCTCATAGTTAGAGCCGACCTGTGACATTGGAACTTCGGCTTTATTGATCGGGAAGTGAGGGAACACATATCATCGCTCACGTCCCGATCATCTCCCCGTAGAGAGCGGCAACTGTAAGTGACCGCTGCCCGCAGGGATCCCCCCCCACCATCCCCCTCTCCGATCCTCCCCCCATCCCCCTCTCCGATCCTCCAGCGCTGACTGGAGGAACAGACGGGGGAGGGGGCGGACGGGAGGGGTGGCCAGCAGTATTGTCGAATTAGTCCGGGCTGCGGCACTCTCAGTACATAGCGAGAAATAGCCTGCTATATACTGAGCTCTGGGTCACGGGAGGACGCTAGTATATGTCCTCCCGTGACCCTAAAGAGAACTATGGGATACAAAGGTTACCTCATAGTTCTCTTTTAAAGCACTATAGCTTATCCATCAAAAATCTATAACTGTCATATAGCTCCTTGTGTCTTTCTCCAGGTAAGGACACAATGTAACAAATGCATGCAAGAAGAAAGGCCAGAACTCCAAACTCGGAGTCTACTAATGGCACATGGGTGACACAGATGCCAATCATGTGTCATTGTCTGGTTGTTCAGCAAATTGCAATACACTGAAGAATATTTTCCCAGACACCTCCTACAAATTCACTATATACTTACTGTATTATGGAAATCACGGACAGAACAAAGAAAGCTTAAAGTTGTGTATTGTGATACAAGAAAAACTTTCTTTCCAGCCCCAAAATGTCCACCCTGATCTAGGCTCAGTCATAAGCCCCCCACTCCCCCCCATATTGCTTCCCTCTCCCATCTCAAGTCATTTTGTCTGCTGCTTTTTCTCTGCAGAAAAGAACACAAGTGCTAGACACCTCTGTTACCCGCATTCGCTTCCCCTGGATCTTGGCACGTGCAATCTCCGAACTGTTTCTTCGTGGGCCGCGTCTGCGCACTCTCACTCCTCCCACTTCTTGAAGTTCCTTCAATTTCTTCCTTTTAATACGGAACTGGTGACTACAACTTACATTGTATCTGGAAAGAAAGGAATTGTGGTAAAGTCCTAATATACCAAGGCCAAGTACATCACTGCTGTTCTTATACTGGCTACTCATTGTGGCTGGCGCACTGTAGGAAGTCTATTATGGGGAAGCAGTCACTGCGAAACACCTCAATACAAATACAAGTTTACTCTGTGACATTAAATTCCATGTTTGGATGTACTGGTGTACTCCCCACCTATCAAAGCAGATACAGGTGAACAAAAGTGGTGGAGAGTGTGCGAGAGTTTAATACTCCACCAAAACAGCATGTAACCCCAGCGTTGTGACTTCTTACCCCCACTCCTGACCCTAGAGAGAAAATAAAAAGTCTACCCATTCCCCATCCCCAACTTTATCTGCAGAATTATATGTAGTAAACAGCAAAATATCTAATGTATATATACATTTCTATTGTCACACGCATACAATAAATGAAAAAAACCACACACACGCTATCTATCTCAAGTAGGTATAGAGGCATTGGCAGGTCTTGCAGCAGAGGCAAGTCAAAGCACCAGCAGTTTATAGTCATTGCTTTGACTGAGCTTTAGTCTTTTATACCTTCTATGGATTTGTATGGATATTTTTGTGGCTGATCACCCGGGCATTTACATTACACAGTGTGGTGACTACCTCTGGGACTGTACACAGTATATATTCTTTTTAGTTTACCTCTTGGCACAGGTCATTGAACAGAACCGCTTTGAACCCCGGAACTGGTCTGCTGGAGCAAACTTGCCACAGTATTCACACTTCAACAGTTTGGAGCTACAAGAATCTGCAACACAAAGCATCAATATAAGAGGTGTCGGAGAACAAGAGTAGAGTAACTGAAGAGCTGTAGAAACAGACTGAGAAGAACAAAACAATCTTCATGACATTTACCGTATTTTGCGGTCCATAAGACACACCGGACCATAGGACGCAGGGAGGTCCGGTGCGCCTTATGGAGCACTCGACAGGCCGTAGCTTCTGCAACAGCTTCTATGACAGAAGCTGTGACAGAAGCTGCAGTTAGTGACCGCTGAGACAGGTGGCGCTGTGATTACAGCGCCACGGTCTCAGTGATCACACAGAGCAGGCGAAGAACGTCTATTCTTCGTCTGCTCTATGGTGATCTCGATAGTCGTCGCTGCTCGGTTTAATACGAGTGATCTCATTAGATCACTCGTATTAAACGAGCAGTGGCTCCTACTACTCACCCGGCGCCCGAAACTGCATGTCTCGGGCGTCGGGATTCGCTTCATTTTTTTCCTTTTGGGGGGAAAAAAGTGTGTCTTATGGAGCGAAAAATGCGGTACATAACATTTTTTGTTAATGTGCTATGTAAAGTGGAGGAAAAACATTCAGAATAGACATTCTTGGTGCAAGTGGAAACCACCCAGTCTTCATTTTCATTTAACATTCAATTGGAATGAATGGAGTTTCCGAACGAAAACCACAGTCAATCTTAGAAACTTGAGAACAATTTAGCAACTTGCTCCTTCAAACATTTTCAAGAACTTTGTCGTTTTCGTCTGTCACTTCCACCATACTATTTGATAGATATTTGAACAAACGTTACGAAAATTATTTTTCGTACGAAATTCTAACCATTTATTCCCTACTTAACAAGTGAGTACATGAGGACACAACAAAGGCAATGGAAGAACATAGAGAATTACCACCGATAGCTTGGTCTGGTGTAAGCTGAGGGGGAGGACTCTCCACTGGAAGCAAAACGGTAACAGTCCCGGCGACCTTCTCAGGGTCTTTTGGTATTTGAGGACTGCCAACCTGGAAACAGACAACGCGCATGATCAAAAGCTGTCCTCTAGCCAGCACGCAAAGCATTTCTTTTCTTGTTCTAGCTGCAGGTTCAAGTAGATGCAAAGTCAACTTTCTTAAAAAGAAACATAAAAAAAAAAAAAGTGAAGCCAGCAAACCTTTTTAAATACATTTTTTGAGTCAATCTTGGCAAGGGCTGTGGGAGGAGACCAACATCACTGCTTCCCTGGATGTTATTCTACTACCGCTAGCCCCCAGGAAGAATGTGGAAGGGGGAGCTAATGTAAATCACACTGGAGGAGCAGGACGGGAGGTGGTGAGGTCAGTTCGGAGTAACCAACCTCCTCCTCCAGGGTGACGACAATGTGACATTAAAGCAAGTTATGAACGCTTTAAAATTCGATGTGTTAATGCCGCTGTCGGCACCTTCCCGACTGGCATTCCTTTGATCAGCTGATCGAAGAAGCATGTCAGAAAATTTCGGCTGAACTGAGCCAGCAGCCAGCTCTTTCTGGGTAGTTTGACAGCTGCTGCTGAATACAAAGGAAACAGCAGGAGATTCCTCGATCAATGCTCATAAGCGTTGATGGAGGAATCTGTTCTATTTTCTTCATTCAGCCAGCAAGTTGAACCAAGAAAACCCAATGCAGCCTCCTAGCCCAGCAGCGGCATGGCAAAAAAAGGTGACAACATTGGGACAGTTTGAAAAACAACATAAAGCATTGTCACCCTGAAAAAGGAAGCAATGCCTGGACATAGAAATTGGCAGGATCAACAGAAAGGTTTTACATGACAGCAAGGGAGAAATTAAAAAGCACTTTACTCCTTAAAACTAAAGTTCATTCAACTTCGCTCTATTTTTTATTTTTGCCTGTACATCCACTTTAATAAAAGAAATCTTTCGGAATCTGTGCACCTGTGGAACACAACTCTACTTAACCAACAAAAGCACATAAATGGCATAAGGACCAATAGCTTACAGGAAAGGGTTCTGCTCCCTCCTGGATGACAAAGCCCTCTATAATATGAGTCAGGATCTGTGGCTTCACAATGGCTTGCGGGGGCTTGGAGTCATTGTGCTGACGTGACGTGATCGAGAGGGCGGGCGCACAAGGAGGTGCAGACACAGACAGAGCAGGGGTGACTTGAGAGGCAGCTTCAGACTTATCTGTGGAGTACAGTGTGAACATAAAATGGAATTAAGCTGTGAATGAAAACATCAGCATTTCACCTTCTGCCTGAAAATGCAATACGTGAAAACAGCGAGAGGCTGAAAGAGCTGACAGGACAGATGCGAGTAGAATGTTACCAACTTAAGTGCTGGAAGACATAACAAGTAAAGCAAAGCAGAGATATTACATTTCACCCACCAGCTGGGGTGCTGCTCTCTTCAACCGTTGGTGGAGTATCTGCTGGGGGAGATGCTTTTACCGGTAGTGTTGGAGACTCTTCCCTGTCCTCCTCGGACTCTGCCTTCCTCTTTCCTGCTGCAGACATCTTGCCCTAAGAGATCAAACAAGCATCAATTGTGTATTCCCAAATGGTCAGTCCAACCAAAACAGACTACTGCCATTTCTGCTACGTGCTGGTCACTTGAATCATCTGTTTTTAAGCTCATCTATGAAGATCTACTAAGAAGATCTGTGCATTTGTGACCGCAGCTCTGCCAGACTGTCATTGCTATTTGGGGGATGTCTCACTCTTCATGTTTGGTATTTTATTATAACTCTAAAGGTTATCCATACATGGTTAGATCTTACGTGTTCAGACCTGAACATTTAGCGTGAATTCCCCCATTCATGTTAAGCATCATGAATGAGGAATCCCCGCTGTTGACTATTGCATTGAGCCTATCAGCATCCACCCAAAATATACAGGTATACAGAGAAACTTACACCTTTCCCATAGGGGTAGAACTGATACTCATTTGTGAGGAATCACATGTGTAAAACAAAGTACAACCTTGGAATTTTTTTTATTTTGCTCTCTGTAGGGGACTGCATCAGGTTGTAAAACACAAATGGCATGGTGTCACTGATGTGAAAGCATAGGAAAAATGCCATATAGTATAGTGGGCACTGATGAATGTTTTCTTTTAGTTTGCTCGATCATCCATGAGTGGACTTCATCTGTAAAAGCAAACAAACAAGAAAAGAACAAGTTTCTTTGGAGCACTTACCTGCAGAACTCCATAGAAGGCAGCTTGGGCTTCCTGCACGGCACCAGACACAGCAGTCGAGACAGGTGCTGGAGAAGGAGGCAGTGTCATCTGACTTAGGGATGACCCTTGTGATGGAACTTGAGGGGCTCCTAAGGCCAGTGCTTGAGCAGGACCTTGCTGTCTGGCACCAACCAGTTGCACTGGAATGTGAGGCTGATTAGGAGGGGGTGTGGGGAGTGGTCTGGAACCTTGAGTCGGTTTGGCTGCTAGGTGTCCTTGAAGATTTAGAGGGGGAACCCCTTTGCCTGGCTGCTTGGGCTGAATGGGCACGGGGGCTTTGGTCGGCAGACTTGCATCAGTTGTCTGCAACATTGGCTGTACAACGAGGGTCTGTTGTGCAGGAGGTGCCTGCATACCTTGCTGTGAGGCAGTCTGGGGCTGTTGCTGTGCCAGCTGCAGGTGAGCTGAGGCATGGACAAGCTGGGACTGGCGGTGCTGGTGGATGGCAATTTGTTGCTGGAACACCACCTGCTTCTGCTGTAGGACTGAGTGAGGCTGTATGTGAGTGTATGTAGCTATAGAGCAGGACATTTAAAAACAATGGGGATAGAATGATGTTTGGATGTGGAGATATTAAGGAAGAAGCAAGAAAGAAAAAGAAAAAAATACAAAAGTCAGTTACAGTCCATTTACATCAATGCAAAAACAAAACCAACATTACAGGTTTGATAAATTCTGAGGGGTGAAAGTAACTTATTATTTGTGCGGAGGCAGTTTTATGCCAGTTCTGGGTAGATGTGAGCAGACAAAATAATTTCCTGATCTACTCACTTCCAGCAAGTCCAGACTTCTATGCTGGACTTCAAATGGAGAATACTAATTGAAATATAATACAGCTTTATCATTCAGTACAATCCACATTCACCTTCTGATTGCATGGGAAAAGACAAGTACCAAGAATTCTGAAATGTAGAGAACTCCATCCATCTATCTATCTATCTACATCTAATAAGACCCAATACTGTATAATGAAGTTGGGGAAAGAATACCAGTTCATGTTGTCTAAAGTCAACAATTAAGTTTTGGCATGCAATTTTGTAAACGGATATGAGATTAATTGGATGTGACACACATCATAGATAATCTCCTTAAAGGTTCATGATCTTCTCCCTGCAGAGAGTGGTGACTGTCATTCCCCCTTCCCCTCTCTGTTCCTCCAACGCTGACTGGAGGGATAGATGGCAGAGGGGGCAGGCATAGCAATCAGGCAGAGGAGTGGATCCCGACAATATTGTCAGGATCTTTCCCTGGTGTGGTGTTGCTTTGCGCTGTCATTGCCCACTATTTGCTGAGTTTTGGGTCACAGGAGGACATTAGTCATTCCTAAAGAGAACGAATGCCGAAAAAGGTTTGCTCATAGCTTTCCTTTAAGTTTTCTTATCAAACAACAATATTAAAAGTACTAAATACTGATAAGCAGAGAGGAGATGAACTCACCAGAGCTGATCAGGGTCTGATTGGGTGCTGGAGTTGCGGCTCTGGTCAGGTTGATACCAACGCTCTGCTGTACTCCCTCCCCTTCTGTTTTTCTACCCTCTGCCTCCGTCTGACTCCCTTGGCTCACAGTGCCCCCTGATGAGGCCAAAGGACTCTTCACAGTCTGTGGTACAGTGGAGGAAGGCAATTGAGGGGGCACTGAGGAAGAGGGTGTCGGATGAGTAGCTGGTTTGGATGGTGGAGGTGCAGGATGAGCAATGGTGGATCCCGCAGCAGTGGAAGTGGCCTGAGCCGTTTGTTGACCTCGGAGAGCCAGGTTCTGAACCTGCAGGACAGAAAAACAAACTACTATGTTGACAATATCAACATTTAATTAAAAAAAATGAAAGTCTCTAGTCACACAGGGGATTATTATATGTCCTGACAGACAAGGTCTTGGTCCTTTAAACAATTCCACCAAGCACTGTAAATGCAGAGCGGGATTTAGAAGACAATTGGCTTGATACCACATTCTAAAGTTGTATAAATCCAGACAACTGCATGTAAAGGCTTGCAAGGCTACAGAAGACATCACTTTAGTGAGTTAATGATTAAAAGTTATTCCAATGCTCAAGTGATTGTTGAATGCAAACTACTGATCACACCATAATCAACAATTTGCTATCTTAGTATGTTATAGCAAATACTTTGTACTGAGGACAAGACTATCGCAGGGACCCTGCAGCTTTAAAAAAAGGAGTTAGGGGCAACAAAGGTGTATGCCACCTCCTGCGGCCCTCTCTTATTTACAATTTAAACTAGGGGTAGCCAAACTTCAGCCCTCCAGCTTTTGTGGAAACACAGATCCCATAGGTCATTGAAAGACTAACAGCCACATGAATGACTTGCAGGTAGATGCAGGATGGGCTTTGTACTTTCACCACAGCTGGAGCACTGATATTATAGTCTTTGCTATATACTAGTGCTCTGACAGGAGATATCCGGCTCTTCCACACAGCAGCAACACTGCCCTCCCCTCCTCTGTCAATTCACATTGTAAATGGGTTCACAGAATGCAAACAGTCTGTGATTGGGCAAGAGAGAAGGAGGTGCGGGCAAACAACAAGGCAGCTTCTGTGTAGGAAACACAAAGGTCTAGTATGTCGAAGTGCTGGAAGTATAGCGATGACTAGAATATTGGCACTCAGTAAAACCGTAAATTGTAAATAAGAGTGAGCTCCGGGTGGTGGCATACACCTGGTTGCAATTTGCTCCCTGTCTGCCAGCAGATTTAAATACTTTTTTCCCCCTGCAGTTCTTCTTTAACCCCCCTCATATAAGTGTCATAAAAATAGTCCTGAGCAACATGGTGACAACTAGTTCTTGTACATGTGCAGACTGTTAGCACATGTCACACGATGCATCAAGAAACCACTGTAGAAATATGAGAGTGAGAATGTAACAGTGTGTCTACCATACTCAAAAAGCCACCTATGATGAGCTGTGGGCTACCAGAACCATATTACTGAAGCTTACATATTGCTGTACAGGTGGCCACAAAATGCAACCATGCACGGTACCCCGAATAATAAGATTAGAAATATGGCCAGCTGATTAAAAAAAAAAAAAAGCATACTATATTAAGGTAATACCTGCATGACAAAAAAAGTTGAAGGTAGCTGAAATAAACACTATGGAGGATGTACAAAGAAATAATGGAAATATTTTATGCACTACAGGTGCACCGAAATGAAAATTTTACAACCGAAACCGAAATTTAAAAAATGTCCGGCCGAAACCGAAAAATAGGATTTTGGTACTCACCGTAAAATCCTGGCGATATTACCCTACAGTACATGATCTCCGATCTGTTCCCTGTGTCCTTCAATGAACGGGAGAGAAATGTTTTTTTATTTTAACTTTTTCAAATATTTTTGTATTTATTTTTTATAAACGTTTACATTTTTTTATACTTATTTTTATTTATTCATTTTTTATTAAATATTTTTAACTTTACTTTTAGGGGCTTCGGGGAAATATTGGGGGTCTAAACAGACCCCTGATATTTCCCTTTTAAAATAGAAAAAGAGATTGAGGACACAGTAGTCCTCAATCTCTTTTTCTGCAGCCCCTGTTATCAATGGACAGGAATCCTCTATACTGAGTGTTCCTGTTCATTCATAACATGAGGACACTGTGTGTTTACTATATCCACAATCATGAATAAACAGGAGGTGATGTAGATCACTTCCCATTTATTCATAATTGAGAATATAGTAACAATACTCTGTCCTCAATTATTTACAAACACTCCGCGATCACTGACTGCTTGTAGCTTGCTCTGCATCCAGACACGTTGTCACAGGAGGCTGAGCCAGCAGTGCAGGGAGGAGAGCTCAGCCTGCTGTGACAGTGCTGGCCGTCTCCGCCCACACGCCGCTCTGTGACAGGAGACTGAGAGGTGCGGAGAGAAGACGCCGGCCGCTCACATCGCTCTCCTCCCGCAGCGCTTGGCCTCCTGTGACAGTTTCTCTCTTCCCTGCTGGGACACGGAGCAGCGCCAAGCGGGGAGAAGAGAAAGAATGGATGCACCGCTATATCAGCCAGAAAATGGCACTTTCGGCATTATGCCGAATATTATTCTTATATCGGTGCAGCCCTAATCTGAACTAATTTTTTTTCATCACAGTGCAGAGTAACGTATGCAATGCACCCAGCATGGTATTGTGCAATGAATGCAATGGTGTGAATGGGCCCTCAATGATCAGTCTACCCAAAAACTATTTTTCAGTTTCGGCAGTTGTTGGAGAGTTGAACCACTTTATGATTTCTTTTATCGTTTGAGACCTCTGGTGATGAGATTTCTGTGCTTAATTTCCCAGGTTTGCATGTCATTATTATTGGAAAAGGAAATTTAAAAAAATACCCAATTAAAAATAAATGTTTACCTGAAGTAACAAGGAGGAGTCATACGTCATACAAAGGGTCTGAATTATCTTTATTTTAGAAAATAAAAGTAAATACAGTATATGATGTACCTGGTCTGAGTCATGCATTCCTTGGTTCTGCGATGGCGCCACCTCCTGCTGGACAGTAGCCACTGAGCCATTCGGCATTAGAATAAGTTGAGAGTTCAGTGGGACTCCCCGGCCAAGAGAACGGTTTACTTGTAAAAGATTTCCCAGCTGAGGCTGCTGCTTGGAGAAGATGACAACAATTAGAATAGTACTGGCAAGATGCAGTAAGGTAACTACAGTTATTCCAGTCACTTTATAACAAATAACACTGTCTAACACTGAATCTAAACTAGTGAGACCCAAGCAAAAGCACAGCCAGGAATAAAGATGTCACGAGTGCCAGCTGTTTGACTACAGCAGACGGCAGAGGAAATTTCTCCATCCCCGCTTTGAGAACTCTCTTGAATTCTAGTCGTGCATGGCTGGCTTAAATAGCTGTGAATTGGATCATTGAAAAGTCAAAGCAATTCATTGCTGGCAGCATAACTGTTAAAGCAAACATGAGCCAAATAAAAGATCAGGGGGGCCTACAAACATAAATTAAAAAGTGTACTTTATTGCACACCAGGTGGCATTTTTCCTGCACACCAACGGTCCAATTCCACTGAAACATCAAGGAAAAGTCTGCAGCAATTTATTCAGTGGTACAGTTTCAAGATTTGGCGAGTTCCTTCATTGGTTTTTCTGTGGGTTTCAGAAGATACTCCTTGTTTTCAGTGGGAAGTGAAATCACATGAAATCTGGAAGCAAACACACATGCAAACCAGGAGCATGCATTTTAAAAATTGCACCCCTGTAAATGGAACTAAGGCCTTGCACATGCATGCTTCAGCTTGTAGCCGTGTAGTATGTACAGCACAGCTTCTGGTAAGCTTGAAGTGGCTTTCCTGAAGCTTTTAATTCAATTTAAACCAGAGATATTAATGGAAGGGCTGACTATCACTTTAAACATGCCACCAGCAGGCTTTCCACAAGTTCCAAGAAGTGCTGAAGCCTACTGAAAGCCTGCTGGCAGCTGTTTTAATGTGACAGTCAGCACTCCCATGAAGATCTGTGTTTAACATCCCTAAACTGAAGCGAGCTGCTCAAAGCGGAAGCCCCTTTTACAAAGCAAGTCTTTCTGCATACTAATAAGAAGATCCAGAAAACTGTGGAAGGTCCTCTCCACAACTTAGGACAAGTAAGAAATAACAGAGAGGTGAAATGAGGATTATAATAACATTTACATGGAAAATGAGGATCATTATAGCAAATAAAACATATTTTAGATGAATGGATTGAACCCAGCAATATATAAGTGCACCAGATACATTTTAAATGTCTCTGACATTAGTTTTAGTTTTCTCTTGATGACAGTTAAAAAGAGAAGAGATCAGCATATGAGGTCATTCTATAAAAGTGTATTAAACTATTTTTTATACAACTACCCATCTGTGCTTCTTTCCTTACAGAAATCACAACACATTCCAATGCAAACTAGAACAGGAACAATGTAGACTGTGAAAGTGTATGTATGTATATCAGAAACATATTTAATAGTTTTGGAAAGACTAAAAGAAGGGTTCGAACCTCTGCCAGGTTTTAAAGCCATCTGCATGCTTGCTGGAAAGATTTACACTATTTGTCCTGGTGTCCATTATCCCCAGAACTGAAACTAATGGTAAAACCAAAACAGGAGGTGATAGGAATTCTTCCATTTGTAACAACTTTACTAGTAGGATTTTCGTTTATTTTAGAGAGATTTTCACTTTTTGTTGTGTGTTTGGGACAGGAAGTGAAAGGAATGATCAGACAGCAAAAATCAAAACAGAGTTTTTAACCATTACGTAATTTATTAATAACTAAAAAAAGGTTTTGGCTATAGATACAATTTAATAGATGATGGGGCACACACAGTATAACCTTAAGTGCCATATCCAATATAATAAAAGAATTCCTGAAAAAAGGACTTACAGGTTTTATATAATCACACATCTCACTCACCCGTAAGTACATTTGTGTTTGGGACTGACTGAGGGGTGGGGAGCTGGCATTGCTGAGTAGAACTGACTGGGTAAGTGTTGTAGCGCTGGGGGCGGTGACATTCTGAGTGCGACTCAAGAGCTGGGCTGAAGAGCTGGTTGATAAACTTGCCTGCTGAAAAAAAGACAAAAAAATAATGCAACAAAATCAGCCAAAAAATGACATCTTGTAATAACAGCTGCAATAAAAATGAATTAGTCAGTACTAAAAATATTGCCTGTTTAATGTCTACCACTTACTGATCCTTGGGTGGTGCTGGTCTGCTGATTGGAACCAGTATTAGGAGAAGCAGCCTGGCGGGAGGCCGCGATGGTAGCCTGCAATATTAAAAACAAAAAAGTTAGCCAATATCAATACTAAAGCATATAAGCAGTGGACACTTTAATTAAAGTACTGGACTGTGGAACTTCTGTATAAAAAGTGTTTGCACTGCATGACATTCAAGGGACTTCTCTTTGACCCAATTTCTGTGATGGAACAGTTTTAGGGATTTTACTCCAACATGTTCACCATGCCCAAATTCTAATGGGGCATCTGCCCCATCTTGGGTATAAAGTAATGAAGATCCTTATTCCCACTCACAAATTCCATTTAGAATCCACCAAATCTGACATCGCCTCAATTTGTAGCTTCGGTGAATATCGAGGATGCGTTCCTATATGCCATCCTCTTTCCAGCACATCGGTGTTTCCTGCACTTTGCTGCTGGACCCCTACAATACCAGTTTGCCTTGCCCTGCCCTTTGGCCTCTCCTCTGCACCCCAGGTATTTACCAAGGTGCTGGCCCTAGTACTAGCCATTGTGTGCTCTTGCAGCATCCTCATTGTGGGATTCTTAGATGACCTCCTGTTGATGGAACAGTCGGCACAGGCTCTGTTGGACATGGCTTTGACTGTCCAGATATTACAGTAGTTTAGATGGATCCTGAACATTCAGAAGTCATTGCTGAAACTGACTCATCGTTTGGAATATTTGAGACCAGTCCTAAATACAGTGCAGGCCAAAGTATGTTTCCCACAGGAGAAACTTCAGGCTCTCTGATTCCAAATTCAAGTTCTCCGGTCCAGAAGCAGTTGGGCTCTCTGCTTTTGCACGAAAGTCTTGGATCTGATGGGTGAATCCTCTCCCATCTACAGCTGGCACTGGACCAGTGTTTGGTTTTCAGCACCATAAAGGTTACATTTCTGCTCTATCATCTTATTCCTTGATTAATACCTTTAAACAGGGAGACTCATGTAGCTTCCCTTGTGAGACTGGGTTTCCAATCTGGTTCTCTATGTGTTCCTTGTATCCATTATCCCCGAGTGGAGAGTGTCTGAACTGGTGGCCTTATTCTGCAAGGAACCTTTTCTGGTTTTGCATAGGTACAAGACCGTGTTGAGGCCCAGGACTTTCTTCCTGCCTAAAGAAGTTTCTGCCGTCCACCTCAACCAGAACATTGTTCTTCTGTCCGTCTCCATTTTAAGAAAAGGAAAGTTCCCTCCATTGTCTGGATGTGGTTCAGGTGTGAGAGTCTATCTCTCAGCCACCCCTTCCTGTCAAGGCCCACCCTACTAAATCAGTGAGTGCTTCGTGAGGTTTTAGGCATCAAACAACTGTTTCCCACATGTGCATGGCTGCCACCTGGTCTTGTGTTCACACATTCTCCAAGTTATGCAAGGCAGATTTTGTGGTCTTTTTAAGCTGTAGGCAGTCCCCAGTGTTCCGTGGAGCTTCTTAGCATTTGTTTGCTGTGCTGCTCACCCCCCAGTTAGACTGCTTTATTCCAAAGGATAAAGACTTCCAGGGTCTCTCAATGGAAACAGAAAGAAAATAGGTTTTTTCTACTCACCAAAAAATCCTTCTATTAAAGTCTATTGAGGGGCACAGATCCCACCCCTCTCTGCTTACGATCATACTTTTGGTATTGCTTTGCTACAAAATGTAGGCATGCTTGCAGTAGGAGAAGTTATCCTGGTTTGACCTACAATTGTATGTTTACCAGTGTCAAATCATCCTGTAAGCGGCAGTATAACCCAAAGTACAAAACTCCAATTTTTCAATCCTATTGATGAAAGGGGGTGTGCCCAATGAATAGGTTCTCCTTTGTAATAGGATTATGTATATCTATGCACTAGTTCAGTGAAAGATAATTCCCATCTATGAACCAAATGCCAACTGATATTTTTGTCCAACTTAAGGGATGAGCTATAAACATAGGGAAGCAAATTGTTAATTAGCATAGAACAAGATAAACAAGTCTAATCCATTTACCTGCTGAACGGCTGCAAGGCTATGTAGCTGTGCATTACTTAGCTGCTGTTGCAACATCAACTGGTGAAAATACTGGGCTGCATTTGGTTGTCTGTGTAAAGCCTGGAGAGCCTGCGGAGAGAGTAATACATCAAAGATCACATGACACACACACACAGGCCTTGAACTCAACAGATAATCTACGCCTACATTAGGGATCAGGGCAGGATGCTGCAATGCCATCTGGTTAATTTGTAATACAGATGCTGGACTAGAAATCACTACACAAACAAAAAAAGTCATCACAAATCTTCTATTACGTTCTCAAAACCAAAGTTGATGAGAAAGAACACATGATTTGTATGCCTTGGTTTGATAATATCAGTTTAAAGAACATCTGTCACTTATCGGTGACCTGCAGCGAAAGGCTGGTATGAATTTCAGGCCAGTGTGTATTTCAGCAGGAACTGGGAACAGGTTGTCCGGCATGAACTACGTGCGCATGCTAAGAGAGGAGAGAACGGAAGTGACAGATTACTTTTAAAAGGAGAATTATGAGGCGAGTGATTTTCACTCAGCCTCATAATCTGAGCCGACCGGTGACAATGAAACTGTCACAGGTCAGTTCAGTAGATTGGGAAGTGAGCGAACACATACCGTCGCTCGCTCACTTCTCGATCCTGTGCCGGCAGAGAGCCGTGACAGGGGAGGTACTGGACTCCCCCCCTCCCCTGTCTGATCCTCCAGTGCTGACTGGCAGGATGGAGGGGGCGGGTACAGCTGATCTGCCTCTAGATAGGCAGAGCCAGCTGTCACTCACGCAGCTGGGTGGATCCAGACATAATTGTCGGGATCCATTCCGGCTGCGGCGGTCTCAGTATACAGCAAGCTGTAGCTTGCATATGAGGTGAGTGAAAAGCACTCACCTCATAGTTCTCCTTTAAGCAGCCCATAGAGGAAGTTTTAGAGAACTATTTACAAAAAGCTACAAAATAACTACTCATTTGTTTACTGTTTCACAATATACGACTGCAAACAATTAATGCAAAAAAGTTGCAAAGTGTGATGAGAAAAAAAAAAAAAAAGGTTCCTCCTCCAACTTTTCCTTCTATGAAAACAACAGACCTCTCCGGGATTAAAGCGAAGCTCCAGATAGGCATAAAAAAACCACCAATGAATCTAGTTATGTATTTCATTAAATGAATTTTTAAATCCCAATTGACTCATTGTGATTTATTACGGTAACGGGGCAGGCTGCATGTACAGTAATGCTGCTCTTTTAACCCTTGCTGCAGCACTAATCAGCTTAACAAAAGCACATACCCTGCGCTGGCAGCACATAGGAGGATCGGACCGCTGTTCTCACACACAAAGCTGCTGCTAGACTCTCCAGCACACCAACATGACCTGAACACTGTTCCAGTTACCAGCACTGATCAGGGAGCCAGCCTACTGTAGGTTACAGCAGTGTCCGGGGACAGAAATATTGGCAAACACACCGCAGTTTGTACAAACTGGTGAAATCTATTTACAGAAAACAGTTTTGTAGAGTCCCGCTCACCATGGGAAAATTCATCATACAGTAAATCGGTAAAACTATTGGAAGGAATGTTAAAGTGGACCTGTACCCCCCTTTGACTAAAAATCACATTATTAAGCTTTGCATGCGGATATGAAATAATCTTACATTCGTTAGTTAAATAAACATTTTTATTTTACTTACAATTTCATGTTTTCTACTTCCTGGTCCTCTTGGGCACGAATGATGTAATGTGCCCATGCAATGCATCCTGGGAAGATTACATCAGCAGAGCATTGCTGGAAAATATCATCTGTAATCTCATGAGATCTCAGGGAAAGGCATTTTCCTCCCCTGAGATGATGTGCATGGTCACATGTGCCAGAGTTCCAGGAAGTAAAGGCAGATGGATTAATCTGCCCTTAGTAAAAATGGCCACTGTCAGAAGACCGGGGAAGAGAAGAGAAATAAGTTATGCAAATACAAAGCCGGCAATTATCTAGAAGTATGTGTGTAGATTGTCATTACTAAACATTTCTAAAAGGTGTCTATGTTGTTATTTTGAAGATCTGGGTAAAGGTCCACTTTAATCAAAGAACAAAACAGTAAAATAAAAAAATCCACCTTTGTAAACAGGTTCATTAGGGGATAAACCTAAACCTTTAGAGGGATAATCTATGATTTCACATCACACTGCACTTTCAATGGTTTGAAACCTTTAGCTCACATTCCAGCAGTCCAGGCCAGAACAAATACTGAAAGGATCATCAGTGCAACACACAGATCAATTACTGCCCTGGGAAAATGCTTTCAGTAAACCTCGTATGCTGTGATGTTTGAGATATTTTCAATGTGCCAAAGGAACAGTGCATCATTTACATATAAGACTGTATGGCTTTTAGGATGTCTGATGTATACAGGTAAATGGTATTTACCAGCACGCTCTTGCAAAAGTCTGAAGATTGAAAATAATAAAATGGCTAACATGCAGAAGAGAGAACTATGTAACCATCCTAAAAGTACATGTTTAACAAGTCCAATGACATGAGGACACCTTCAGCTTTGTAAAGTAATGTACAGATTGAGATAATTGACTTACCTGCACAGCCTGGCGTTCATACAGAGACATCTGAGAAATCTGTGGACGGGAGCTGGTGCTGGAGGCAGTGCTCCCATTGGTGGAGGTGGAATTCTGTTCACTCTCTGTCTCCATGTTGGTGCCCAGAACTGCAATTTAGAGAGAATTTTCATACATTTAACCTAATGCTAGATTTTATTTTAAGACATATTTTTTATAAAACTACAAATGATGCTATAGGACTTGATTACATTTTATGACCTGTACACACAATCTGATTTCTGTGTGTTAATAGGTACACTTTACTGGCCAGTAATACATTCGGAAACTCTCCGAAATATTGAAAGAACTATTTAGATTTATCACTCAGGCTCTTAACAAACACTGCGCTAAAAATAGACATGAAGCGGGGAAATCAGATTAGACAGACCGTTGAATGACTCAAAGGAGGAAGCCCAGTATCCTTCAGGGAGGAAATCATTGGGCAAATATTTTTAATCCAGGACTTCATGAGCCCACTGTTTGTGGGGGTGCCAGCACAACGCTTTTTATAGTGTACTGATGGCGATATCTGTGCAATGTCATCACATCAGCGCAGCCCCCTGCATCATGAGGGACAGCTCACCACTGGGAAAAGACTGGAGACAATGAGCACCCAGCATATCACATGACCTAAAGACTTCTGAAAATGGTAAAAAAATAAAAATAAAAAGTATATTAGGAAAAACAGCTGAACACTGCTAGGGGCCACCAATCACTTCCACAGGTTCTGAAATGTGCGGGGCTCCCCCTGTCTGACCCCCCTCGCCATATATCCCACTGCTGCCCTTCCTACGGACCTGGGACCAGCATGGCAGGTGTCGGCAGGTAGAGGGGAGGGAGTCCAGTGAACACAAGTTCCCTGATCTCCTCTCTGGTGAATGAACCCAGAAACAACAATGGGGGGAATTTATCAAGACTTAAGCAGACAAAATCTGGAGCAGCTGTGCATGGCAACCAATCAGCATCTGTTTCATTTTCAAATCATAACTGAACAAACTAAAGATAAAAGCTGATTGGTTGCCATAGGCAACTGCTCCAGTTTTTGTCTTTTCTGTCTGCTCCAGTTTTGATAAATCCCAGGACCCCCCCCCCGCAATGAATTTAGAGCCATCATTCCCTGGCCGTAGGAGAAGCAACAGAGTAGAAAGGCGACATTATAAGAAGACCCTAATGTCTCTTTAAGCTGTCACCTATAATGTGCTACCACCCCCCTATGTGAAAGCAAAAAAGCATAAAAAATTACATTAAATTGGGTTTTATATTGTGTTTGTGTGCGCTAAAATTCATTTAAATGTGTTTTTTTTAGTAAAGATTAGGACTTAATAAACAGTTGCACAAATACTTTGTGACATAAAAAAATTGCCAATGCCACCATTTGATTCTAGAGGGTCTCTGCTTTCAGAACATATATCTTATTTTTGGGGGGCTTTTAATTAATCTTAATGCCTAAAATCGGTTTGGAAATGAGTGCAAAACCGGTTCTGGCAGCAAAGGGGTTAAGGCCAGAGGATCAGCAAGGCAGCCTAGTAACGAACATTTTCTAAAAGAGAGAATTCATGACGGGTTCCTCTAATAGAATTGAATGCACTGCGTAGCAAGATAGGTCTGCAAAGTTTTCGTTCAGATGAACAGCAATCTGCAGCTTCAACATGCAAATGACACACTGTGCTTCCTGAGCAGCTACATGAGCTTTGCTGCATGGATAACAGGCTCCATCCATCTCTATGGAGAGATGCAGCTGACATTTATACACAGCGGGGGCAAGGGGGGGGCAGGACGACACTACCACTTGGATATGTCTCTGTCAATGAACATGTCCGCACTTACTGGCACTGTACTTAAGTTGTTGCTCCATCCGTCAAGATACAAAAAGAGCCGCCATTCATGCAGGGAGAGCGTCCATCTACTAAAGCTATAAAGCTGCATCTCCAAAGCGGATTACTGCTTCTCAGAATCAGCTTGTAACTTGTTCACAGTGAGCTGTATAGTTCCACTTCAAGCTGCAGAGGGGCAGTGATGACTACCGGACAGGAAGTTAGCTGTGTGTTACAGTCTACAATAACAGATTTATAGCCTTCCTTCAAAAAAATATTATGTGCTGCATCTGCACCTACAGATTTCCCTTAGGGACAGCTCTGGTAGTGTGTGTTGTGTGGCACACATGTCAGAGTTGTCACTGTTTACATTTGTTGTTTTGTTTTTTTTTTTACTTTATGTGGAGTGTACAATGTGTACACTCCATTCAGATCCCCGCACAGCAGCAAGGTGCGATACACTGCGGTGCAGAGACCTGTAGTGGCATGCAATACGTTGCGATAATATGCAGCATGTTTGCATTGTATCGCAATCCACCTCCCACTGCATTGTGGTGTGAATGGGACACATAGAAAACTATTGTTTTGTGTGTCCTTCTGTTGACCTCCATTGATCTGGTGCGGTACAACACAGGTCACTGCTATATGTGTGAAGACTCCCTGCAAAAGTCTTAAATACCTGATGAGCATGCCAGTAAGGTCCACCACATGAAGCTTTCTGTAATGGGGTGACAACACTTCTGCCCTGGAAATTCAAAGCAGGGTTGTCACCCTAACATAGTCTGTGTCTGCTTGCACTACAGTGGGATGAAATAAAAACCTTTAAAAGGAGAACTATGAGGTAAGTTAAAATAAATCAGCCTCATAGTTCGAGTCGACGTGCGACAATGAAACTGTCACAGGTCGGCTCAGTAGATCAGGAAGTGAGCGAACACATACCGGCGCTTGCTCAGTTCTGGATCATCTCCCTGCAGAGAGCAGCGACTGTCACTCACCGCTCCCTGCAGGGATTCCCCCCTCCCCGCTCCTCCAGCGCCGACTGGCAGAACGGACAGGGGAGGGGGCGGGTACAGCTGGCTCTGCCTCTAGATAGGCAGAGCCAGCTGTCTATCACGCAGCTGGGTGGATCTCGTCGGGATCCGTCCTGGCTGCCTCAGTATACCGCGAGCTACAGATACTGAGCTTTGGGTCACGGGAGGACGCTAGTTTGTGTCCTCCCGTGGCCTTGGGGGGAAATATGGGGAAGAACACTGACCCCATAGTTCTCCTTTAACTAAGGCCCCTTTCACAGGGTTGATCAGGAGAGGGTCTGTGCATGGATCCCCTCCTGATCACAGCAGTATGGAGCGCATGTCACCGCTGCCTCATCCGGTTCCGTACAGTTTTTTTTGCCAGACCTGATTGTGCTGAACGGGGGTAATCTGATGTAAGCAGACACATGGGCGCTTACACCCGAGTCACCATAGACTGACATGGGGTCCGGCGGTTTCCTCCATCGCAAGGTTTCCTCCTTCTCACACCTTGCGATGGAGGAAACCGCCGGACCCCATGTCAGTCTATGGTGACTCGGGTGTAAGCGCCCATGTGTCCGCTTACATCAGATTACCCCCGTTCAGCACAATCAGGTCTGGCAAAACGGGTCTCTGTTTTTCTGGACCTGGCCGGAGGCGGGGTAAGCGGGCGTACATGGCTGCCCATACTTACATTGAGCGTTATGCACCACAATACAGCTGGATTTGGGACCGGTGTGGACTGTTACACAGGAACCTTCATGTTGCTTTGAAGTACTTTCAGGAACTGGTTTTACATCCACAATTACAGTCTGTCATGCCTTGCCTGTTGCATGTTTTGCCTGAATACGTCTATGCAAATTTGTCTGCGGAGAACCATCATCAATTCAGGAATTCATCGGTTGTATGATTCTCCTGAGCCGGGACTGTGCAGCTGTATTCAGGCAAACCGCAAAATGCCGCAATCTGCCAATCACATGAATTAGCTCATCTCTCGTTAGAACCGTTGCCTTCATCTCTGATCTATTCATCATGTTCTCACACAGGAGGTAATGAAGGTAATCCATGTTTATTAATGTTTCCATGATGTGTACCACGCCATAGGTGGTGACAGACTGACTTTAAGGAGACCTTGTCACCAGCTTAAATAATGGCAGCAGGTAAAAGCACAGACAGACAGACAATCAAGTATTTGAAATGCTTACTTGCAGCTCTTTTTTTAAATTGCATAAATTATTTTTTTATTCATTTGCAATGTGACCTTCATTTTCTGGACTTTTTGTCTATTCCAGGAATAGCCAATTCCCTAAAACAGCCTCCGTCCTCCTTGCATGTCATAGCTCTCTTCTCTTCTGAGAGTGCCTGATTACAGTCTGTGCTGGCCCAGCTCCTCCACCTCTCACTTCATCTCCCTACATAACCTTTATGTAGCTGCCGGGGGAGGACTGACAGGGAAATAATATAGAACTGGCAACCTTGGCCCTCTAGCTGTGGTAAAAATTCCATTATGCCCGTCTCTGAGAGTCAAGCCTTTCAGCTGAAGTGCCAAAGTTGCCTACCCCTGCTAACAAAGGTCACTCACGTGACAGCACTGAGTCTGCTGACATCATATCCAAGATGGCGGCACCCAGCAGCAGTTTCAGTGCTTTGGCATGCTTACATAAGGGGAGGCTTTTAAAGCTAACTAACTTGTATAAAACACATTAAATGCACATATAACCTTACAGGAAGATTTCTGTTGAAACGAATGGTCTGGAGTAGGAATGCACCGATACTAGTATCAGTGCCGATACAGAGTATTTGGGCGAGCACTTTCCCCCGATACCGGAACTTCCAGTCAGAGGGAGATTTCCTCTGACCGGCAGTGCCGTGAGGGAACATGGAGCCGGCTTCATGGCCAATCAGGAAGCTGGGCAGAGGTTAATGACTTGCCTCCTGGCTTCCTGATTACCCGGGAAGCTGGCTCCATGCTAGCGGAAGTATCGGTACTTGGTATCGGCATGTACGGAAATATAAATATCTGTACTCCATACCTAAAAACTAGACATGTGCAATTCGTTTCGTTCCGAATCGAAATTCGGACGAATTTTCGAAAATTCGGACATTCGGATGTATCCGAATTCCGAATTACAGACATAACGAATGCAAACGAATCCGAATTTCCATTTCCGAAATTCGGTAGCGTTAGTACGAACGTTCGTTTCGTTTTCTGTTCTTATTCGTTTCTTATTAGTTTCTTATTCGTTTCGTTCGTTGGAGCAAAGTGACATTAGAGAAGGAGAAAAATATTTTTTCCACCTCAAATGTCACTTTTGCTGCAAACGAACGAAACAAATAAGAAACGAATAAGAACAGAAAACGAAACGAACGTTCGTACGAACGCTACCGAATTTCGTCCGAATCCCGAATCCGAATTGACTTTCACACACGAATCATGAAAAACGAAATAACACAAATCCGAATTTAAAACGAAACAAATTTTTTGGCAGTGCACATGTCTACTAAAAACCGGTATGGGTGCATCCCTAGTCTGGAGACAGGTTTTTCTTGAAGACATGTTTACAGAATGTACCAATTCCTACGGGACATTCTACAAGGAAAAAAACAAACAAGAATACTTCACAAACAATGATGTGCCGGTCACAATTCTGCAACATGTACGTTACAAAGACAAACACCCATTATAACAGAAATATTGCATTTCTCTGTAGTCTACAGCAAATACAAATCATTCAGTCTCTTCTCTTTCTCGTGTTTCATCAAGCACGGCAACTACAGACATGGTAAGAATTTTACAAGTATTAAAAAATAAATAAATTGGGCCTCATTTATAAAAAGTGCCCGACAGAAGAAACGTCTCAGTCTCTGCGGCCCCAAAGCTAACAATCGGATTTTCCTTTTGCAGTGCAAACAAATGGGAGAATGTTACTGCCATGGGGGCAAAACTGGCCATACACCTTACAATTATCTGCAGACTTTCTATGGTCAGATGGAAAAGTGCAACAGATTCCTCCATCTACGCTACACTGCGTGTATGGAGGAATCTCCAAATGGGCCAAGCTTCAGTATCTAGCTAGTCGGCCCCACTGGCTGTCAGAATACCTGAACAATCTGATTGGATGCAGGCATCGTTGCGGTATTTTGAGAGCCAGCGGGGCCAACTTGCAACATACTGAAGCTTGGCCAAGTGGGAGATTCCTCCATACACACAGTGTAGCGTAGATGGAGGAATCTGTTGCACTTTTCCATCTGATCATAGAAAACCTGCAGATATTCTATAGGTGTATGGCCAGCTACAGACAATTCTTTCCTTTGATTGCTCATCAATAATACCGGCTACAGGCAGGAATAGACATTAGCAAGTTACTGTGACACAATATATGCTGGGCTTATACAACCTGCCGAGAGCTGTATATGAATGAAATGTGAGATCATTGTGGCTCTACAGTAAAGTATATGTAAAGCCAATACAACGTCTTGTGTTACAGATCCCTCAGAAAGACTGGACTCCAAAGCATAGCTCGGCCCGATAGAATGATCAGATCCGTTACGTTGCTGACACTTCTAGAGGCTGTACCCAGATGACACATTCTACTTACAAAATGTACCGTTACATGCGCATTGTGTGAGCTGGATAGAGAAGGGATTGGGGTTGTTTTGCTTGCTGTCTGTCCCTTTGGGGAGATTTTCCTTCTCTTTCTGTCCCAAGACACAACAAGCAGGGAGAGGAGATCTCTACAACACAGGAAATTCTCTCCTGGACAGCCAGAACAAGTATGAGCACTAAGGCGTCTGTCCATACCTCAGCGTTGCACTAAGCACGTGGGATCTGTGCTCACCATCGCACAAAGTATTGCACCATACGTTAGGTGTGCCGGTGGATTGTGTTGACATTCATTTAATCTGACTGGCACCTTAAGGCAACTCCCAGTGGGCGTGCTTTGCAGCCTCTGGAACAGCAACAACACGCGTTGATACGATATATGAGATGTGTATACACTATATATAATAGGACACCCTCCATGTAGATATATAGGAGTGTACAGTGCAATGTATAGGTATGATATATGAGATGTGTTTACACTGTATATAGATAATAGGACACCCTCCATGTAGATATATAGGAGTGTACAGTGCAATGTATAGGTATGATATATGAGATGTGTTTACACTGTATATAGATAATAGGACACCCTCCATGTAGATATATAGGAGTGTACAGTGCAATGTATAGGTATGATATATGAGATGTGTTTACACTGTATATAGATAATAGGACACCCTCCATGTAGATATATAGGAGTGTACAGTCCAATAACACATGTGTCCCCATACATGTACACTGCAGGGCTCAGGCCTCCTCATTCTGGAGACCCGCAGACAGCAGTGACACCGGGTACAGACACACACACATAATACTGATAGGTGACTGTACACAGAGGGGGAGGAGCTCCCTGTCCCCACATCATATACACACACACATAGACCGGACGGAGCCAGCTTCCCTCCCGCCTTTCCCTCTCCCGTCCTGACCTAGGAAGCCCCTCGGTCCAGCGCTGACCTCCTGACCTTTCCCCTCTACGGTCCCGCGCTGACCTCTGACCTCTCCCCGCCGCTCACTCCGAGCTCAGCTTCTCTCTCTGTCTGGCTCTTTCTCTCAGCCTCTGACGTCATTTCCCCTCAGACGGGCCGACTTCCTGAGCACGTGATCTCTCCCTCCTCACCTTTCAGTGCGTTGTTATGGGAACGGATGGGAGGTCCCTTCCACGAGCAAGCTGTGCGCAGTCCCTGTGCGGTGCCCCCTGGGTGCCCTGTGCGCTTGGGATGGGCGTGTGATGGTACACATCCCTCAGTCCTGCGCCCGGGGCAAGTGACCCCCCCGCACCCCCGGTTGTTACGCCACTGCTACCAACAACAATGTCATGCAAGGGTCTGCCTGATTGGATACAGAGCAGTTGGATTGTTGAGCTTGTCCTCATATTACATAGTTTTGGTAAAATTAAAGGCTAAGTGTACTTTAATACAAAGTGCATTCAGAGTCATCCTGAGGCCTGGTGTCACCCATTGGGATGTCATCATGTACGTGCATAATGACATCACGCGCTTTTAACATCTGATGCCCATCTTGGTGATGGATGGCGGCAAAGATAGGAGGGGACACTCAGCCAGTGGGTCCTTTCTCAGGCAGCTGTCAGGCTCTTGGTCCTTGACCTACCCGCCTGTTCCGAGACCCCCCGGTGCGTGCTGCATCCCCCCCTTGTGACGCCACTGAGTACATTATCCTTTTTGCCCCTATGTCCTGAGCCAACTGATCTCGCCCAACACAGATGTATACTTACCGAGATCTGACAGCTGCGGCCAGAAGTCCTGTCTGATGCAGGTAAATGCGCCCCAAATAAGTCTATGGGGCTGTAATATGCATGCGAGGCCAGGACAGACACAATGTAAATAAAGAACAGAGGCCATCGCCATAGGAACTTGGCAAGTTCATCCCAAATCTCCATTACACTTTGGGAGACTCCCACTATTAGATATCGGCTCACGGATGCCCGGGAGAGAAACAATTTCTCCCGGAAAGGTTTACTCTAGCACAGTAAACCTTTCCCTGCTTTTTGTTTTGTTTTCTAACATCGGGGCCGCTGTCAGTCAGAGAAAAAACACACAGCATAGGAATGAATAGCTGGATTGCTATTGGCTATTTCAATTTGCAATAGCAGACTAGGTATTGCACCCGCCCACTGCTCCTGTCAATCAGCACAGGGGGACCTACAGTTCTCCATCAGGTCCTCATCTGCTGATTGACAGCAGCATGGGTGCAATAGCCAGCTTGATATTGCAAATTGAAATAGCCAATAGAAATCGAGCTATCCATTCCTATGCTGGTTTTTTTGTATTATTCTGACGGCAGCAGCTGTCAGAACAAAAAAAAAACTTGCAGATAGCAAGGGAAGCAATAGCTTCTTTACTATCTGCAATCATGTCAGGGGGTGCCCCAATTTGCAGAGCCATGTGTCCTGTGAAATTGCATGTATATCAGTTTTGTGCAAATGGAGGCAATTACAAAAGTTAGTAGTACATATTCTTTTCAAGTCAAAAATACCCCATCGTAGCCACTAGATGGAGCTGAGGAGCATATGAAATAATTACTTATTTCCTGTGTACCTTAGCGCCATCTGGTGGCCATAATGTTATATGCACATGATACAGTATTACATCCAACCAGGATTTGGGTTGCCTCCGTTCATCCAGAATAAAAATCACCCAGAATAAAAAGAGTTTATAAATACAATCCTGAGCGTCAGTAGAAGCATCTGAATAGAAAGTATTTTTTGCCCATCACGTTGTTCCTTCTGAAATGGTTAGAGTCATGATCAGGGATGCACACAGAGTCTTTATGATTTTGGTGCTGAGATGTGTGATGTAAAGTGGACCTGTTCCTTGGCTGTGGACATTCAAACATTTAAAGTGTGGCCTCAGTTCTAATGTGAAGCACATTCAGGTTTGTTTTTTTCAACCCCCACGCCTATGCTTTACCCTGTGCTGCCAGCCCTAGGTGTGTAACTTAACAACAGTCAGGGTGATTGACAGCCAACTACAGAAATTACATGATCGGGTGATCGTCGGTAAACAGTGACCGGGAGCGGTCAATTACAGCTCGGTCACTGTGCTTGGTGTGCGCTTCCAGCATAAAACAATGCTACGAATATCTGATATTTATAAAGGGGCAAGTATAAGCCTCGGGCTACATAGGCAATTTTTTTGTAGCTCAACCGTGCTGCAAAAATCTATAAAGTTTGATATCTTTGTATTGTATATTAGTTGTAATGCAAGCTGCTACATTTGCAGGAGCACACGTGTCATATGGATCGCTCCCAGGATTGCGTAATGCCAGAATATAATCTCAGAGCAGAATCCATTAGGCAGTAATCTTCTCTCTCCTCCACCATTGTTTGATTTTAAACAAGTGCAAGAGATTGATCTTTCAACAAACGTTCATTTAGCAGATTGTTGGCCGATTTTGTTCCCACTCAAGTGCACCCCATGAGGTTTATTCTCATGAGAGTAATCTCCGAACAATCCCCCGACAATCTTCAGTAGTACAAAAGAGGGATTTCTGCACTAGGATATTTGTTTTCCAGTCTTTGAGATTAAACATCAGCCATGTAGCCCCAGAACCTGGTCTGATCATGTTTTTAATACCATACCTGTGGTTACTTTTTCTATTTTGTAAGATAAGTAGCATTGTGTATGTTATAACAAAGCACATCAATGACCCGAAAAAGAACAAGCAAAAGGTTTACTTTAAAAAGGATCTAAGTTTCTATATGGAATACAGGCAGTCCCCGAGTTACATACATACGACTCCTACTTACAAACGGAGGCTATTACTGTACAGCAGGGGTAGTTGTAATGCTGCCTGCCGCGCTCGTACCAACAAGGAGTGTCCACTTTTTTGGGTCTGGTTTGTAGTACTGTACGTACATTACAAGAAGTTGGCTCTTGTTAGACGTGCGGACAAGGGGCGCCCGCCTCTTCTTTTGGGTCACCAAGAGGTTTTTACTGCTTTCTGTATCCTCATTAGAAAGATGTAATCTCACTTCTTGTCCTTGAGACAACAGGAAGTGAAAGGAAATCTACCCCTAGGAAGTGAAATTCACTCCTGTAAGAGTTATCATGGGAAACAGGTGTCTCCACTGAAGCTTTATCACAATCCTTGTTTCCACGACAACCCAAAATTTTCAAAATCCAATTGTCACAGGTGCCGCGCTCGTACCAACAAGGAGTGTCCACTTTTTTGGGTCTGGTTTGTAGTACTGTACGTACATTACAAGAAGTTGGCTCTTGTTAGACGTGCGGACAAGGGGCGCCCGCCTCTTCTTTTGGGTCACCAAGAGGTTTTTACTGCTTTCTGTATCCTCATTAGAAAGATGTAATCTCACTTCTTGTCCTTGAGACAACAGGAAGTGAAAGGAAATCTACCCCTAGGAAGTGAAATTCACTCCTGTAAGAGTTATCATGGGAAACAGGTGTCTCCACTGAAGCTTTATCACAATCCTTGTTTCCACGACAACCCAAAATTTTCAAAATCCAATTGTCACAGGGACAGAAAGTGAGGCGAAATCTTCTGAACAGGGGCACACACCGCAAAACAAACGTTACAGGGGGTTAACCCTTCACTATGCTATCCACCTAAAAAATTTACCTGTTCCAACTTACATACAAATTCAACTTAAGAACAAACCTGCAGTCCCTATCTTGTTTGTAAGCCGTGGACTGTCTGTATATATAAAGGAGCTGTTTTATACTGCAAAGGATTTGTATTTCTGTCCATCCAGTCTTGAGTTTTGCACAGCGCTTAGCATGGTTTTGGCTTGCAGGACCTGATCTTTCTCTGCTACAGTTAAGTAACACTAAGGGTTCTTCACACTATGGAGATGATTGCTAAATCATCCCCCAAGATATATGCTGGCTGAATGCCATTCGCATGTCGTTCTCACCACTAGATTAGGGTGGCCAGATTTTTAAAATGAAATCTGTGGACATTTTTTTTTTTACAAATTATTAGGGATGCACCAATACTGATATTAGGATCATTGCAGATATTAAGTATTTGGGCGAGTACTCGTACTCGCCCAAATGCTCCAATGGCTAGCCCGATACCCAAACTTCCGGTGTCAGGAAGCCAGGCAGCGAGTCATTACCCACCCCCTTGCTTCCTGATTGGCCAGAAAGCCGGCTCCATGCTTCCTCATCACCTGGTATTTACACGCCGCCTGGCTTCCTTAGTGGGACTTCCAGTATTGGTATTCGGTATCAGCGAGTACCAAAAAAACTGGTACCGGCGCTTCCCTACAAATTATGTCCCTGGGAACATAAATAAAATACATTTTTTTTATTTATTTTTTTATATTCACCTGATCCCTGGATCCACTGATCCATCTCCCACGCTGTCAGGAGCTGCATACAGCGCCCACCGGTTACTATTTAAAGCAGAGCGCGCTGTATGCAGCTTCTGAGAAGATACGCTATTAGCGTTGTGGGGAAGCCAGCTGCACATTTTGCGTTGGTCCACCTCAGCTGATTGACGGGAGCAGTGGGCAGGTGCAATAGCTAGCCTGCTATTGGCTATTTCAATTTGCAATAGCAATCTAGCTTTTCGTTCCTATGCCGTTTTTTTTCTGACTGACGGAACCGATGTCAAGGAAAAAAAACCCCAAAAACAGAGCAGAGAAAGGTTTACTCTGCTAGATAAAGCAGAGTAAACCTTTCACAGAGAAAATGTTTCTCTCCCGGGTGTCTGGGAGCCGCTATCTAATAGGAACATCCAGGTGAGTTGAGATGTCTGATATATTTATTTATATTGTAAAGCGCTGCGCAAACTGTTAGCGCTATAGACATACTATGTAATAATAATAATACTATACCCAAACACCTAAAGCTTCAGCCAGCCTGTCATTGATTTGCATAGGCTGCCTACATGCAGCTGTGCCACACATCACGAGTCCCAGGCAGAGGAATACACCTGACCATTTCCAGCCATGTGCATGAGGCCTAATGCAGGAATCACCAGACCAGGGAACTGTCACATGCTAGCAGATGGAGAGTCCTTGGTCCTTTGATAGGTCTGACTAGATTGACTTCTTATTTATTTTGCTTTGCCAGGCGAAAGGGATGGTGA